CAGAGACTGGAATGGAGATTTATCTTCCAACAAGACAATGATCCAAAACATAAAACAAAATCTACAATGGAATGGTTCACATAAACATATCCAGGTGTTAGAATGGCCAAGTCAAAGTCCTGACAGGAATCCAATCGAGAATCTGTGTAAAAAAAACTAAAAATGTCTGTTCACAAATGCTCTCCTCTCAACCTAACTGAGCTCTAGCTGTTTTGTAATAAAAAATGAGAAAAAATGTAAGTCTCTCGATGTGCAAAACTGATAGAGACATACCCCAAGTGGCATGTGCCTGCATTCGCAGCAAAAGGTGGAGCTACAAAGTTTTAACTCAAGGGGGGTGAATAATTTTGCACACCCATTTTTTCTTTTCTTTTTTTTATTTGTTAAAAAGGTTTAACATATCCAATATATCTTGTTTCATTTCATAATTGTGTTGCACTTGATTCTTCACAAAAATTACAATTTTATGTCTTTGTGTTTGAAGCCTGAAATTGGGCGGAGGGTCGAAAAGTTCAAGGGGGCAGAATCATTTATCAAGGCACTTTTAGTATACACAGGTTAGGGTAAAAATATGTATGGGTACAACAGTAATAGTGAATGTAAGATGTTAAATCACAGGAGCCAATGAAAAGATAGCTTTCATTCTAGGGTCCAAACATGGTTCAAACATTTGTGTCGGAAGTGTGATAGAAATGCAACAATGAAACATTAATGTTCAAAGCAAAGAATGATCTTTTCACATTTTTAAAATGGCAAGTATGTTCTTTATATGACCGATAATGATCAGTTTTATTTAAAGTTCTCAACTCTGCTTAACAGGAGATGTCAGCAATACGTTTTCTGTCCATCCAAACATTTAGAAATGGGAATGTCAGTGCAACCAAATGGAGGCTATTTGTGACAGTTTAATCCCTAAGGTGACATGGCCTAAATGCTAACACAACCGATTAGTTTCCCTTTCGGTAGGTTGCAGTTTGCAGATTAGTCTCTCAGCTCCAGCATCATCTCTGGCGGTGGACCATGCTGTTAGATATCAAAAAGCTCTGCTTCTTTTTCCTTCCAAAAAGCAAAGCTGCGATCAATGTATCTGATGATTTCCTCATTGCTGAATTCCTTGAGCTCATAAATAACTTTAATTGCATCCTCAGTAACTTCATCTCCTTTTGGAGCTTGATCAATAAGAGGTTCTTCTGTGAATCTAACTTTAACAGGTGGACGCTCCTTCTTTGGATCTCGACATGAGGTGTTTGTGAAGTTCTGTTTTCTTTCCACTTCTTTTGCACCATTGGCTTTCATTTCCCTTTCTGATATGATTTCAGACTCATTTGACGGCATAAGCTCCTGAACGTTGACCTCCGATGCGGCTCTGTTCTCAGGGACATCAATCTGGGCAGCAGGAGGTGATGGTGAAGAAGTTACATCTAACTGGGAGGCTGGTGGAGGAGGTTGTGTTGTGACTATAGAGGTTGTAGACGGTGCAATCGGAGATGGGGGTACCGAATGGGTGGGTGGAGGAGGCGGAGGATGGGAAGGTGGGGGAGGGTGCGATTCCTGTAGTGCTGACATATCAGGAGATACTGAATTTAGAGATGCTGTCATCACACCTCCACCATCATCTACGTCTCCAAAGTGTTTGAATTTGATGTCTTCGAAGCCATCCTCCCAGTCTCGTTTTCCACTCTCAATTTCCACCATCACTTCCTTGTGAAACTGTCTTATAACTTCCCATTTATGACTGCCGAGACGGTCAAACATCTCATAACACAAGAGGTGGCGGAACTTTCGCTCGCTACGAGACATGTTCATTTCTAGAAGCTGGAAGTATCCAAGCATGAAGAGGTCAAGGGTTAGACTCTCATAGCGTACAGGGGATCCATCAATGTGCGGCAGAAAGTGCTCTGGCCAGTATATCATCTGGGAACGACTCAGCCTCCGGATCTGCCGTGAGGGCACTTGGCTCATGATTGATCTCCAGTGGCCTATCAGATTGCCAACTACTTGCTTTGACTTCATAAACATAATCAGTTTGTCATCTTCACTGTGCATTTCTTCACCTATTTGAGCATTGAACTGACTGTAGTCCTCACAGCCCACATCCAAATAGTGTCCCCTCCTGCCTGTGTATTTAGTCCGATAAGATTCTGAGATGGTATACTTCCTCCAGTGCTCGAGGAACAAAAGGACAATTCGCTCTTTCCTCATTTCGATGCACTCCTGGACATAGCTTAGATCAGTCTGTACCTCCAGGCTACGTTTTAGCTGATCATCAGTTAAAACAGGGTCTGAAGAAAGAACCTCATTAAACTCTTTAATGTGTGTTGGAGCCATTGCCCCAGAAGAGACATACAATGGAGAAACATGGCATTCAGTGACAATTGGTTCTTCAACAAGTGGTAAGATAGGTTCTGAAGGCAAAAACCCATTGCCTCTATAGTCAGGAGCTGTGGGTGAGGAGGAAGGAACATTACCCTCACAGGTTAGCTCTACACCATAACTGGACTCACTGACCACTGGAAGTGAAATTTTGCGTTTGTAAATACTAATAGCTTGGTCATTTGTTGACTGTGTCTGATTTTGAAGTTCATAATTAGCCTTCAGGTTTTTCACAGAAACTCCACACTGCTTTATCTCCCTTTCCACATCTTCTCTTGTAGAGAAGGACTGGGATCGCCCAATGTTTCCTGTGTTATCAGTTGTTTGACACGGGCCTGTGCTAATACTCTTTGCTTCTTGTTGATAATTTCCAGAAAATATAAGATCTAAAACGTCTAGCTCCTTTCCTCCCAGGGTTGCAAGGAGAATCGCCATACTCTTGAGCAAGGTAGAGATTTTGCTACACCAGGCTGGTAGATCCTCAGCTTGGCCATGCACTTGCTTTGGATTGACTGAGAAATACTCCTGATTAAGAGCAGCAGAGACAGGCAGTAACTGGTGAAGCTCTCGCTCTAGTTCCTCCAGTTCCTTCTCAACTTCTGACATTTTATGCATGACCTGCAGGTTCTCGATTTGTTTCTCAATACGATTTAGATCAGCTTCGGTCATCAGTTCCCCAAATGGCCCTAAAATGGCATTGTGGATGTGGGAGTAGTGCCATTCCTGTGGTTGGTAGTGTCCACTTGACGCAAACTAAATCAGAGGTCAAAGGAGACCAACAGGAGAAGAAGACAAAAAAAGAAGGATGGAAGGGTTCCCTCAGCTGGATGTTTTTTGTTTCAGACACGGTTCAGAGCAAATCCATTCCAACACACAGGATTTACATGGATTTAGTGGTGCAATGGCACAGCCTCTGTACAGGCATAAAAACTCTTCTAGAATTTAAAATCAAAGTCAAAAGAGAAAACTTAGTTAACTTAGGAAAGACTAGCAAAGTTAAATTCTGAGCTGTGTATTTGTACAAACTCCATATCAACTTTGAGGTTACATCTCTATAGCCATTTTACACCTATATGAACAATTATTGTTACACCTTTAAGTCCTATTTGGGACCTGCTACATGTACAACAGACACTTCAGTCCTCCAGACGATGGAGAAGACAACATAAGGTATGTGGATAAAGCAAAAAAGTTAAATTTGCCAATACTCGTCATCAAGGAATAAGATAAAAGCTACTCCATAACACCATCATTGGCATCCCTGGTAAAGATTGTCAAAAAGTCTTAAAACAAAGTCTTCTTTTGTTTCCATAGCATAATCCCAAATGTCCCCAGTTTTTTAAACACCCCACACCATCTTTCTTACCATATGTGGTGGCAACAAAGACATGGGTGTTTGTCCAAAAGTGTTTGTCATAGTTCTTGTTGTTTTAAACACTTTTAAGCTGGTAGATTTTTACGTTGATCCCTCATTTGGGGAAGTTTAGGTGCAAAAATGTTTTTGTCAATTAACACAGAATCTGCTTTTTTTAAAAGATGCATTCTCTTGCCATTTTAAGGAGTTTCTTAAATAGACAAACTTCTAAAATAAACCAATCTCTGTGTCTCTTCCCTAATAAAAAAGGGACAAATACTGAATAAAAAATTAACATATGAAATTAACATATCTTATCATAATTCAAAAGAAAATCCTACAGCAGACATTAGAAACAACTTTTTTTGTAGGTCTGGTGATCTGTAGAAAAATGCAGCTTTTATTAAAATGAATTTGTTGTTGCATTATTTAGTAACATCGGCTACAAAAAAATGAGATTATGCTAATACAAAAGATGAACTAATTGTAAAGCTTTCATACATTTTTACCAGGGATGACAATATATATGGAGGGTATTCTGTTTATGTATTATTGAACTCTATGGAAAAATTAATAAACAAAAGCAAAACAAAATACAACATTCTTCGACTTAACAATTGTTATTGCAATCCATTTTCAATGGGCAGTATTTTACAGATGTTCAAATCCTTATTTTGTATTTTTCAATTATATTCAAACTGGTTTGCCTGTAGTGTGAATGGTCCCAGCATCACACCACTGAATCAGCATGTAAGGACTTGAAGCCACAGAATACCATCACCTTACACCAGCTCACACTTGAGTCAAGTGTCTTGGTGTTGTAATGGTCAATGTAGCCAAGTTTTCAAATCATTTCACTTCAAAATATCTCTGTGTCTATGAATGAGAAAAAAGTCATGCAGCAGCCAAAAACATGCCAACAACCATGGAGCAAAGTTAATAAAGCTTTAGCTTTAGTTAGTTTTACTTGCAATTTACAAGTGGAAACAAATGAAAGTAATGAAAGAAATATTGATGTGAAGCCCCAAACCTAAAAGAAAACTTTTCTTTAATGGTATGGATAAAGAGTAGAGGTCTTTTGTTGTTGTTCCTTCAATAACAAGTTGCTGTTTTGCAAACACATCAAACGCACACACATCAAAGTAAAAGCCATCCCCTTTGCAACTTTATGCATGTTTTATTTTTCTTTTTGCATAATTTAACATTTAAGAGACCACAAATGGGATAGTTGAAAAACAACAAAACAGGCACAGCATCCCAGCACCACACCTACCTTGCGTTTGTGCTCTTCCTCCTCTTGCATCTTGGCCTGAAGCTTTCTCACCATCACCTGCCTCTTCCACTCAGGGATGGCTTTCCCCTGCTCGTCATGAGTGGGCACAAGCGCCTCAATGTCGGCGAGGCTTGTCTTCCTTCCTGACTCCGCCACACCAGCTCCGCCATTCCCATTAACCACGGAGTTGGAGGAAAGCTGCTCGTAGCTTGTCGAGGCTGACATGGTCCTGGAACCAGTAGGACTCCGGCTGGGACTGGGGCTCGGGCTTGGGGTGATGGGTGGAGAGGTAACAGGTGGGGAGGTAACGGGTGAGGAAGTTACAGGTGGGGAGGTAACAGGTGAGGAGGTGACAGGTGGGGTGGTAACAGGTGGGCTGGATTGTGGAGGGGAGGGTGGTTTGGCAGGTGAGGGAGATGACTGAGTCTCTGGAGGTGTGGTGGTTCCCTTAAGTGAGATAAAGACATGTATTACCTGTCAGAGTTATCCCAACTAATGGCAGAAGCTGTGACTGAACAGTCGGAGCCTGAGTTTCAATCTTATGTATGAATAAAAAAATGGCAGAAGGTTTTGAACCTACATTGTTTCCTGTTGGCCCTGTGTTGGAGAACACAGTGGTGTAGCCTTTACTGTGAGGTGTGGGCTTGAGGCTTTTTCCTGCTTTGATCTCTGCCAGCAGCTCTGAGTTGTCTCCGGTGGGGGACATCATGTTGAAAGATTTTGTGCCTGCAGCCAAAAAGAGAGTCCGATAAAGAGAAGAAGAGGCTCTGGGTGGCCTTTCACTGTTTAAATATTTTATCCAATCAGACAAGTAACAATGCTGAGCCGGCGAGTGTTGAACAATGATGGGAGTTCACTCAGGTCAACACCAATAAGCTGGATATATGTATTTGTTTGCTAAGGTTTGCCTTTATGCTTTATGTGAGGAGATGTGTCTGATTAGGTCACTGTTGCATTAGTAACACCTGGACCAGGCCTGGATTAAAACCTTAAACCTCATTTAAAGAAATGTGAGGCTGAAAGCATTGAAATAGGTACAAAGTTTTAGATAAGTTGTCTATATAGAAAAAACAAGGCTGTTAAAAGAAGTATTTCATTCCTTAAAAACAAACAAACAAACAAAAAAAAACAGCAGCATTACACATTATCTGCATCTTTTTGGTGTAATTTCTTGCAAATAAATTAATTCCTCCCTTTCACCTCCTGTATTAAGATGCAGGAAGGCATTTGGACTTTGCAACGAAGCAGAGAAAAAGACACTAATGGATCTTTAAAGTCAAGGGATACAAAACTGGCTTAATAAGAATTGTAACAACAAATGGATAAGTGACCAAATAAAATCGTAATTATTTTTAGTTATTACTCCACCAGGTTATACTAACAGCAGCACTGTTTAAAAGGAATAAAGTTATCCATTTTTAGTTTCAGAGTGTTAAAAATAAAACCAGAGGAAATATAAACACATAAAAAGCTCTTTAAAAGGAAGCTCATTTCAACAGAGACATGTTGGTTATTGATACTAAAACACAGAAATTCTGCATGTGTTGTATGTATTGTATTGAACTGGCAAAAGACAGAACAGACCTTGAAACATTAGCAGATAAGGCTCAACGCACTCAAAAGTTGATCTACTTAATACTTTAATTGTTGGAGAGCTTTTGGAAATGTCAAAGATCAGTTATCAGCATTATTTAGAGTTTATGCAATATTGTGCTGTAACTCTACTAATAGCAACAATATGCTGCAAAAGACTGTTTGAGAGCAGTCTCTTTACTGCAAATAAATAAAAGGACATGCAATAAGACTAGAAATAAATATTGTGATCACTATTTATAACAGTGCTTGAAAAAAAATCTGAATCAGATCAAATTTGTATCTAGTTCTACAAAAACCTCATTTCAGAAAACGGCTTCTGATAGCAGACATTAAAAGGAAATATATGTGTGATAACACAGCAGTTCACTTAATGAAATAATAAACTTCAAAAATCATCTTTCATTGATGATCATTTAGAATCAGTAAAGTTTTGGGAACTTTTGAAAACAAATGATAGAAAGTCAAAAATTTTAAAATAACTAACGTTTTTTCCTCATTAATGTTTACAGTTTGATAAAATAGAACCAAATGATTATTATTTCTAAATAAATGTATTAAAGCTTGATCTAATTCATCGTATTACGTATCCAAAGAGCCTGTAACCGCCTCACCTGCTTTAGAGAATGTCAGCCTTCAGTGTAGCAAATGTCCTCAATTCTTCATTGTTTACTTAGCCTCTATTTGCAGAAGAGATGAAACAAAAGTCCCTCCGTAAAACTGTTCCCTGTAGAGGCGACCACAATGGTCTAGATGGACACAAAGACTGCTTAGCGTGCCACCCCTCCTCACGCTCACCTGCTCTTCCCTTTCTACCGCGGAGGAGGAGAGAACAGCTTTCCATTTGAGACCCATCATCACATGGGTGGAAATCTAAAGGGTTCACCAGTAACTGGAAGTGACAGCGAGCCACTGGAAAGCTGGCCAGGAATTAACACGCAAACACACGCACACAGAGAAGCTGTCAAATAGTCAGTCCCTTCTCTGCCAGACCAATCCTCACAAACCTCACTCATGGTCTGTATTGCATGTGATTACATGTTTTATACTCCGCTTCCTTTCATATCCTCTATTATCTCAAAAAATATATTCTTCACATATGGAAAATACAACAAATTGAGGAAAACTAGAGACACAAAAGCGTTTTTACAGACCAGAAACTGGGGGGGAAATTAAAATGCCCTTACAGGCCCAATAAAAGGCTGTTGAACTGTAAGCCACTAATACATAAATAAAACTAATGTGGTAGTGGCAGCATCATGCTGTGGGGATGCCATTGTTCAGCAAGGAGAGGGAGCCTGGTACGAAATTGATGGATTTATGGAGGGGGATAAATAAAGGATCATTCTGGAAGAAAATCTATTATGGGCGGCAAAAGTCCAGGAGAGTGGTTGGGGTTGATTTTTTTCCCCAGGATACAAAGAATAAACCCACAGTATTAGCTGCACTGGATTTGGTTTAATGAAAGCATATTTATTAGTTAAAATGGCCCAATTAAAGTTCAGACTTAAATCCATTTAAGAGTTGCTAGAATCAAAACCTAAGGCCAACAGCGACAAACTCCAAAAGTCTTCAGATGTGCGTTTAAAAAACCCTTCTGAAGAAAAAAAAATCTGTATCTTCATCCTGCTACTTTGTGTTGATCAAGTCTAAAAATCTAAACATCTATTTTAGATTTAATATGAAAAAAAAAAAAAAAAAACATGTATGTGTGAAGAAAATTTTGGTAGAATGCTGCACCATCTTTTTTGCCTTTACTTAACATTTTTAACATTTATTCAGTATGACAAAGCACTGCTGCTTTGTGAAACTCATCTTATGAAAAGAAATTAAAAAAAAAATCAGTAACAACAATTTATAATAAAAACATAAAACATACCTTTAGCTTTCCCTGACAAATCCTTATTTCAAAGATCCAGAACAGTGCATGGCAAGATGTTTTTCAAAAGACTGAAAATCACACTAAAGGTAAAGAGGTGTATCTGTTTGAGTTTATGAGCCAGCTGCTGTGCGTCTGCTGACAGCTTATCCTGTTTAAAAAGGGGGTGGAGACTCAGCCAGTTTTCAGTTCCTGTGAACAAGGCTGAAGGACTGACAGCTGTACAGTACATTGTCCTAATGGACATCGCACCACACAAGGCTGTCTGAACCTTGATATTCCACTAAATATTGCATCCAGTCTTCTGCAATCCCAGTTTGAAACAGATTGAATCAGTGAGGAAAAATCAAATTCAATATATGCTGCCTCTCTGTTTAAGACCAATAGCAGGAAGCATATCTGTTCAAGGCTCTTATTTTTCTTATGATCTCCATGAGTTTTTTTTGCATGACCAAAGGCTGAATAACAAATCCTATATTTTGTTTGACCACAGTTTTCCCTACAGCGCCGCAGATAAATATGCACAGTGTAAAAAGTGATCCTCTCTTTCCTGAGGTGAAGAATAACAGGGCAAAAACATGACAAACCATCTCGCATGCAATCAAATTCATGATATCATTTAAGAAATACCAACTCCAGATGCACTTTACCTTTACACCAGTCCTAATCATGCTGCTAGCAAAGTTCCACAGATTTATATCAATTCTGATAGATCTTTTATCAATATTTTACTTCTTCTATCAAGAAGTGATGTGTTAAGGGTGCACAAGCTCAGCGAATGGGTAAATGGCCCAGACAAACAATTGCAAGTGAGCCCATATAACGCCTACATTCTAGAGAATTAATTTGCAAGTATTATATCGCCATGCACTAGTCAAATTAAACTAAAGGAAGGCTCACTCAAAGATCTAAGTGCAAACCTAACGCACATTTTAAAGCCAACATCCTAACCCGATTTGGAGGCCATCTGGGTGACAGCAACTTCGTGCAAACGGCCGACAACAAAATAACACCATTCATAGAAAATATGCCTTTCCTTAAAATGATTAAGACTGCGTTTCATCAAGACAGTATCAACATCATGGTTGGATCCTTGCCCCTTTGGATGCCTATTAGTGACAGCAAACAAAAGTCTTCTTTCACTTTGGTGAATGATGGAAATGCATCAACAGATCAAGGTTGACTTTTTATAGTTGATGGAGAACATAATCTGCAGGTGACAGTTATTGCTAATATTGAAGATATGTTTGCAAAAAGGACAAAGTGAATTTTGATTTCTCTTTATGAAAGCCAGGTTTAGCAACACAACCGTGTTTGACTAGCCCAAGGCTAGAGCTATGTGCTGCTGTATTTGCTGTAAAAATAACAAAACAGATTGTGGCAGAGATGGATGTGGAATTTGACCACATTAAACACTTTACAGACAGCAAAGTTGTACTATGTTACATATACAACAAATCAAGGAGATTCTACGTCTTCATGCACAACAGAATTCAACGCATCCATCAAATTATCAAGTCCTCCAAGTCCTGCATATATGGGGTAAGGGTCCATGTCAGCAATTGTTCCGAACAGCAAGACGTGGCTTACAGGGCCAGCTTTCCCGCTAAATAAATCTGGGAACATATTTGACCCTAAAGATGTGCTAAGTTTAATCTAAGCTGCCCTTGGCTTTGAAGTAGGACCAGAATTGACCACTGATTTCCCTCCTTCACATCTCAATGAATGCTTTTACAAGTTTAGAGTCTGAAGTCAGCACTAACATGTCCAATTCAGATAGTTTGTTCCTTTATCACATCTTTCAAAAAGAAATGCTAGGAATGGTAGATATGTCGTCAATCTGAAGAAGAGTTGATAAAAGAAAGGTGTGCATAACAAAAAGGGTCCAAAATGAATGTCTTAGAAGAGATTCTGAGCGCTTCTGGCTGCAAGTAGCTTGTCGAAATTACCACCCATCATAGGATCTGACGGCCTGTTAAGAGTAGTATATACAGGCTTATCCAGGTGTGGATGGGACTCATTCCATTACTATTCCTGATGCAAACCATTTGGCAGTCCTGTTGGTTCGCCGGTTCCATGACGCTGTAAAGGGAGGCATTCTGCAGTTTCCATTAGTGCTATTGAATTTTACCTGGCTAGAGAAAAATGCTGCACAAGCAGCCTGCTCCATAAATATCAGCTCATACTTCGTGTCATATATTCTGGTCTTGTCCAACACTTGTTCCTTTCTGGTCATCCTTTTTTGAAGTAATCTCTCATGCTTATGCTCATAACATCTCACCTTCTCCACTGGTTGTTGCTTTTTGTTTGTTTTCTAATCCATCGGTACCTGTCCCCTTCCAGCACACTTACAGAGGGTCATTGCCTTTTCTTCTGTATTAGCTAGATGCTTGATTTTACTGAAATGAAAGGTGGCTACTCCTCCATCTCATCATCACTGGATAAGAGACATTATGTTAAACCTTAAACTGGAAAATATTAGATGCACCCTCAATGGCTCGATCAAAAGATTCCAAAAAAGCTAGAACTCTCTAATAACATATGTGAACAGTTTACCGGGTCTGGAACTGGAACTCTGAATCATGACATCTGCCCTTCAACAAACTCTGTAATAGCAAGTGGTTATTTGTTTTTGAGGTTGTTTTTTTTTTTTTTTTGTTCTTTTTTATGGGTGGGATCCATCTTTGTTTGTTGTTGGTACTGTCTGTTATAATTGATCTGTAATACAGAAAAATTATTGTTTCATATGTTAAGGGAAATTCAGAAATAAAGTGTTTGCAAAAAAAAAAAAATAAATAAATAAATAAATGTGTGACTTACAGGAAACTACGTGGGAGGATAGAACAGAAAAAGGAAGATCTATTGGCAGAACGATTGTAGGTATTACCAACTATGTTACTGTTGATGCCTTGTTGATGGGAAATGCTCTCATATCACACCAGGGAAAGTATTTAGTCTCCATACATTGGGCTGTAATGTTTTCCAGTATGTGTTCAAGAACAGCCCATTAAGAAGAGCTTTAGACATCCATTTCCAACAGCTTCATCACTGCATTAAGAAGATTTTTTTTATTGTAGAAAGTTACAAAAAACAATCATTACTGATTGTGAAAGGTAGTTTTTGTTGCGTATTGAGAGCTTTGAATGGACGTTCCTAATCTTAACATCAATATCGCAGATATCTACCTAAGCAAATAAAACTGCACTTGGATCTTTATGTCCTCTCATGCATCTACGTGGATAGTGCGTGGCAGTATATGACTGGATTGGCTCATCCTATTCTGGACTGCGTGGTTCTCAAAGAGAACTCATCTAACACATAGGGCTCCCAGAACATTAATAGCTAAGGTAGCTGCAATCATGAGTGCCAGACCACTCCTTACAATATCATTAGAACCAGAATCAACAAGTTTTAAACCCATTCACCTCCAGGCAACTTTAATGAGGCAGACCTCTTCAGGGAGAAGAGAACACAAAGCAAGGATTGGTAATAATAGTCACCAACATCGAAAGCAATTAATTCTTAATATGGAAATGTCATCCACCATTTGATAAATTTACCTAAATTAGGATACCGGTACTTCTAAATAGTATGTGTTAAATAAAAACAAAACAAAAAAAACTGTAGTGTATTAAAGCATTTCACCCTTATTCATAAGAGGTATAAACAAAGGTAGAGGACAATAATTTGAATATGCATACAAAAAAATGCACATATAACATTATTAAATTATTACTTGAGAAAATGAAAACACATGATCACTTCCTGCATATGTTTAGCTCTATGGTATCTTTTATCCACATCTTTCTATTATATCTTTAGTTATCGTTGTTTTTTGTCCATCTGTCTGTTTTTTACATGATTTTCAAGCTTAACCTTTCCCTTTCGTTTTGACCAAAGGCAGGACTTCTGGGGTAGTGTCCTTTAGACCGATCGGTGAATTAAACAATTAAATACAATTTGCTACCAGATATAACAGATATAATATAACCTCATAAAAACTGTTAGGCAAGTAGTTGGAAAAGGCAGCGATTTCCCAGCTCAACATTATAGTGTCCATCATGAATGTGATTTACTGAAGGGAAAGTCCTAAAATCCCAGAATCTCACATCATTGAGTTGTTTTGAGGTAACTTAAAACTGGCTTAACATGCTAGAAATCCTCCCATATATCTTACAGCTGAAAAATCAGACAGATTTCAGGGACTGGAAACATCTTACTGAAGTTATTTTGACTAAATGTGGTAACAATAGCTGTTAGGAAGGGTGTTCTAACTGCTCCCTAGCCCAGAAACCACGTCTTTTTATTTGTTTTTCATGTGACCGTACTGTATGTATAAGAGACTGAAACTCAAATTTAAAATCTTAACTCTAAGTGTAGAGGTCTATGTAGATCCTGCCATCTAGCTACTCTAGAGGTCTAAAGTATCAGTCTGTACTTACTCTTCATCTGTCTAAGCAGCCCTCCATCTGAGTGGGAAGTAGAGTTATTCCCACCTTCAGATCAGCCAGGAGAAACCACATCAGACAAGGTGACAGGAGAAGAAAAGACAAAGACATGCAGAGGAAACAAGTGAATGTGGAAAGACATGATAAAAGACAAACGGATAAAAAGTTTAGGAGTAGGGATGCACCAAGAACTGAAAACTGTCAGTCGTAAACGACTGAAAAGCAAATTTTCGTTTTTCAGCCGATAGATATCTAAAATTATGAGGCTACAAACAGCACATCCAGCATGGGGGAAAAAGGATCACAAGCAAGCAGCACATCCAGCAAGCAGAAATGCTTTTGAGGCCATGAGGAAAAGGACTGTGGCAAAAGAGCACAGGTAGGAAAGCAGAGTTTGTCAGAGTTAAGCTGCGGCAGACAGGTATTATGTGCGGGGTGCGAGTTTAAATGCTGCACATAAGTCTCACTGTGCGCTCAATGTCAATATAAAAGTGACAGTCAGTGCCATATCAGTCAGTGGCAAAAAATGCCATAGAAATCCAAACATCCACATCACCATTCTGAATATGAGAAGAATGCGACACAGAAAGGAAACTGACACTAAACAGGCCCGGTTCATCTGTAGTGGACGTGTTTAAATAGGCGAGAAAGTTTCACAGCGATTCTGCTAAGGTAAAGGACAGAACGCAGCCACTAGACCATCAAATGGCAGTGGTAAATAAATATTTTGACACTTTTGTAATTGATTTTTATTTAAATACATTGAGTTAAAAAAAATATATATATTTTTTTTAATAGGGTTAGTAAAATTGTGGCCAAAAATGTAATAGTTCTAATATGCATTTTTTGGTTTTCGGCCTTGCTTTCCAAATTTTTTGTTTTCAGTTTCGGCCTAGAATTTTCATTTTGGAGAGTCCCTATTTAAGAGGTAAACACACAGTGTTAAAGTCAGAGGTAAGCTGACTTTCGGTCAGTGCTTTTTAAAAAGGTTTGAGAAACAATCCAGCAACTTCTAATTCCTTCATTTAATATTACCTACAAGAAGAGGGGCTTATTTTTTGTGAGTTACAGTAGTAGCCATTCAAAATTTTTCCACTTTCCTTGATGGGCCCTAGGCTGGTCCCAATAATTCCTTTTTAAACATCAAACTTTGTACTGAAATATTCTTCCTATCATGATTTGTGGACATTAAGATCTAAAGAGAAGCAGCTCCTGGTCAGACCCTGTAATTCAGTGAAAGGCTAGAGTCAGAGTAAAAAAATACGCCCGCCCAGGAGAAGGCCAGTGACTGGAAGTTGGAGGGTTTTTTGCTGGGAGCTGCAGGGAAGTGGGCTGCCATTCGGCTGGCATTTGACTGGGAAGAGCTAGTTTGAATTGCTGCTACTGTAGAGGGATGTAGGTCAGAGGACCACTTAAGGAAATAACTGAACACTAAACCAGATCTCAGAGTAACAGGATCCCTGCATCATTAATTAATAATCCGTTATTTAGAAGGCTGGCACTGAACGCCCCTCATCTTCACGATGGGGTGATAACCTGGTGGCTCTTTCTGCCACACTCTGCTTTCTAGGAACAACCATGTAAACGTATGTAAGCAAGAAAATTTTGTATTTCATAGTAATGTAAGCGGGGTGTGTGTTGCACTTTAGGAAGAAAACAACAAAATGGATTGAATTGGATGCACTCACTTCCTGATGAGGAAGACGGGCGCCTCTTGTCATTGGAGCTGGGGGTGGTGTTGCCATTATTCTGGGTGGCTTGTGTCCCAGTGGGTAGTGGAGGAGGGGGAGGGGGTGTTGGCATTGGATTGCTGGGAGGAAGAGGAGGTGGTGGAGGTGGTTGTGGAGGGGGCACAGATTCCTCTGTGGTGCCATTTTCAGAGGCTGGGTTTGGACTTTCATTTGACTCCTCCAATAACACAGAACCCTAAACGGAAAAAAAGGGAAAGGTTGAGGATGTCCATAACATGATACATCTCTACCGAAAGCCATTGCTTTATAAAGTTTATTCACTATGGTACAGCTGGCCTGACATTGGTAGGTGATAACATGAAAAAACAGTATTTTATAGCATAGCCACAGAGTTTGACTTATTTTAAAATGATTTTATACTAAGATAAAGTGGCCTGTAATTAAACATTGTTTTTTAATTCTGGGGATTCAGTCATTCACACACTAATATTATGGAATATATTGGTGAACTCTTCGTACTATGTGTCTTCTGAAGCCAATCAGTTGAAATTCATTTGTTTAATGGTGTCAGAGTAAAGGGGGCTTAATTAAAAGTTGGATTTATGAGATATCCATTTGTAGAAAAATGTGAAACCCTTTTATCCTTTTCCCTCAAGTTCACAATCATTCAGTTTTTAAGCTTATAAAGTAAACATAATCAAGTCTCCGGTTCAGAATTCAGGAATTCAAATTCAGTTGGTACAAATATTTTAATAAAGCATCACGTTTTTTTTCTTATTCAAGACAATTTCATAAAAAAGAAAAAAATCTGTTATCATATGTTGTTTTTTAAAACCCCCAAAAAATTCCAGATTCTAAACTTGCAGTATGAAAATCCTGCACCCTGTAAAGGTTTGTTAAAGCTTTGGATTCTTGCCCAGGCTGCCGATAGGGAAGCATGTACTCCTACTTGTTTCCTGATATCTCTAATCACCTCATAAAGACACAATACCCATACAGTTCTAAGTAAGCTAATATGACCTAATCCCAAAGGGAAGGACATCTGAGCGGAAAACGGTACTAACTGACCATCTGTCACTGCAAGTGATAGTCCTGCATGCGTCCGGCACACTCCAAAATCGTGCCGTGACTCAGCTGGAGGGGAATTAATGCACCACGGCATTTAACTGAACCCCACCCCTCAGACGCGTGCACATCATTGTTGCCCCCATCACTTTCTAAACACCCCTGGGGAGTTGGGAGGGGGGGGCAACATCCAGATGGGCCAATGCGGCACGTGCCGTTTTCGGTGATTAGCACTTCCATCTGCTGGGGTCCTAAGAGACAAGGAGGGGCCCCTCAGGGGCTCTAATTGGCTCAATGTGGATTATACCATGTGTCACCCCAAACAGCCACCACTACTGATACTCGTGGGAGTTTAAAACCCCTCTAGGGATTACGATCATTGACTCCTGACAGACTTTATTTATTCATTCTCTTATTTCTAGGTGGTTTGAATTGCCATTAAATAAATTTTGACTTACAGTTACATTTATTTAAATCTGTGGGGCTTTTTTTATCTGTTATTTTGGACTTTTTTCTTTTAATGTCGTTCTATGAGATATTGTGTTTAAAAAAGGAAATTTTTTAATTAGACATTTTAAAGATTTAAATACAGCTTTAAAATGTGTGCCTGGACTTTTACAACTATCTATTTTGTACTTTGTAATTTTTTGTAATTATTTGTATTACCTAACAGTGTTTTTATATTTTTTATAATGAAAATATTCTTTCAGATTTCCCACTCTGAGATAAAATACATCCTTTATAATAAAAAAAAGCTACATCTATTATATCCCAGCACTGAAATCAACTTGTTAGCATAGATAAATGTATAAGTAAGGCTTTTTTGTGATTTATAGGAAGCAACTGGTTAGGCGCTGCAGTGCAAGTGCTGGAGTTTATTACATAATGCCTGTATGGAGAAGGGAACAGTGGAAATGATGCGTTGGGGAAAGTTTGCATAAAATGGAAAAACAAAAGGTTAAGACAGTAAAAGATTATGCAACACACTGACTGGTAACAATCGGGCAAATACTGCCAACAGTATAGGAACGGGGTTCTGATGCACTTCTCTCCCAGCTAAACAAAGCTCCTGACCTCACTAGGACATCCACACCCCAGTGACAGAAGACATAAGAAGACTAATATACTAAATAGGTCTATTTCTAATTTTAATGCGTTGAAAAAAAGTGAAACCTCTATGGAAGCCAAATAAATAGTTAAATCTGTTTGCTTTGAGATCATCCCAAAATATAGAACCATTTAGATAATGTTCTCCACTTGCCTCCTCATTGGGCGCCATGCCTTTGCTCCCACAGGGCCCCGCTGTGTCGTTGCCCAAACTTTTGTAATACTCCCCAGTGCTGGGCTGTTTGTTGAAGCTCCTCGACTTCCGGTTTGAATCCACTCGCCGCAGTTTGTCGTGGCTCTCTTCTGGGGTTAGCTGCACAGATTAAAAAAAATAAATACATTTTTTAGATGTGTGCATGAAAAAGCAGTAGGTGTTTATTTAGAGTGCGGGTGTGTAGGTGGCAGGAAAAAAGTTCAACACAAACAGAGCAAAATTTGCTTTCTTTTTATTACCAGATTGGCTCTCTCCTGTGGCCGAAGCAGCTTTATTTGAATAACAGAACAAGGATCGTATATAGCCCATGTAAAGCCATGCTATCAATGTTTCAACAACAAAAGCTTGTTGGACCACATCCAGATTGTATACTTCGCTGAATGGAAGAGACCGCGCAGATCATTAACCTCGTCCTCTACAACGGAGCACTGTCACTTTTTATATTGACACTATACAGAAAGCTTCAGTTCTAAAGAAATAATGTCCAAATATTTTCAATCAGTCTTCAGCTTATGAGAGACACCAGTCAGACTTCACATTATTATAAAAAAAAAACATTAGCAGAAAAATTTTCCTTTTAAAAAGCCAGTTTGAAAATGCACTATTCTGTGTTGCTCTATGGATCCTTTCCCTCATGCAAAAGGCCTTGAAATTTGCATGTAAATGCATCATAATATACTTATACAGCCAAACTTCACAAATCCCTCACTTCCCAACAGTGTTTAGCAGAAGCTGTGTTCCAAAGAAAATAGAGAAGAAAAAATTAATTTCTTTTATATATCTTGAAAGTATATCTTGAAGATGAAGGTCAAACTTAAATGTAAGCTTTTAAAGCAAAAAAGCTGCTTTGCCTTTCAAATTCAAGACTCAGGAACAGATTTGTATCTATTTACATCTAAATGCAAGAACACAAACTGACTTTTTTTTCTTTTTTTTGGCTGAACCCAAAGCAGTTCCATAAATGTTTGAATGTCTGTCATTGCTGTAAGCAGAAAAAACTGACAGCTGACCCCTGACCTCCTCCTGTGTTCTGACTTCCTACAAGCTTTCTTAATTGTGTTGACTCCTGTCTGCTGTCAAAGAGATGGTCCCTGAGCACTCATCAGCAGGGAGGGTAACAGGAGAGCTGCAGATGGATTATCATCCCCTAGGGAGGTGGGTCAACAATAGCAAATATACATAACGTTTTGCAAACCCCCACACATCTCTCTCACTTGTCTGTGCATAAAGCAACATTATATATGGTTTTTCTTCACCTGCATCCTAAAGATTTCTACATTTTCTCAGCAGGCAGGACAATGTTAGGTTTGTTTGCAATAGTTGATCCCATTTGCAGAACAGGTAGGCAATTCAATGTAAAAATGAGGACTGATCAAATCTATAAGCATATTCTATGAAAAGCTTTCAAGGCAGAAAAGAAAAAAAAAAAGAAAAAAAAAAATCACAGATTTACGGTTGAAATGTAAAACAGCCAAAGTATGCAAACGTGTGAGACATATCTCTGCAGAAGCAAAAAAAAAAAAAAAAAACTTTCATCAAATTAAATATCCTCTCTGAAAGGAAGTCTACATTACCTTAATATGAAAAGTCCCTTTTTAAAGCTGCTTTCTGGTCTGGAATCAAGCCGCATCAACAAAACTTAGCGGAGCCAACAGAGACCAGCTGTCACCAGATCCAGCACCTCGTCTTCTCTTAGCTCACTGCACACACCTGTCACTCTACCTGCACCTCTCACTTTACCAACAGGCCTCATCAATAACCTATTGGGCCAGCTCAGCAGCGGCAATGATGTCACCACCATCCCGTTGACTGACCACACCCCGGCCCTGCCCAGTTCCGCTTATGCAAAGCACAAAAACCCATGTGTTCCTTGGACCATCGCCTTGGCCACAGGCAAATCCTCAGAGGCTTTGGGATTATCAGAGTATCCAAGCCCTTTGTGCAGATGTGAAACTTTTCAAGAATTGTACTTAAGAGGGAGGATAAATCAAAATCTAAATTTTCTGATGGTTTAGAGTCCAAAGAATTAAACTCAGATATGTGCAGTGGTTGTGGTTCAGGTTTGTGTGGTATGCATGCAGTGCAATAAACATTTAATTTGAGACAATGCAGACAAACGACTCAAGCAAAGCAACAAAATCAACCTGTTGCTGACTGTAGCTTTAACAGGATAACATGCAGGATAGCTTTTCACCGTTTGGTACACAGAGATCCCATTTGTGTGTCTTTTTTTGCACATGCATGGGCATGTGATCTGAGAGCCAGACCTTATTTAAATTATTAACAAGAGGTGTGCCCTAAGCTGATCATCGGGGCACGGAGGGGAGAGGGGGCAGAGCTAATGTTTCATTAAAACATCTCCCCCGCAGAGTGCATCGTTTCACACAGAAACACCCATATGCACACAAAGAGCTCACTATGGAGACAGAGTATGGGAAAGGCTCACTGACACATGATTTTAGAGCTGCTGTGTAACTACTTTGCATACTAGATCCATACACCTCCCACTGTCTGAGCACTTTTTTTTTCTAAAAACAGTCTGTAACCTTAAATCTCCCTGCTGTGTGAAAAAAATATAGCAGTAAACCTCAGATAGGCTTTGTTGGTTGATTGAAATCTTGGTATTATTTCTAATGATCTAATCAGTCTGTATTTGAATCAAGATTAAAGGAAGGGTTTAACATCTGTTGCTTCAATTGTTGAAATATGACAAAAAATAAAATAAAGTTCCTTGCATAACTATTAAAAAAAGCTCACGCTTTTTCTAGATTTTGTCATGTAACACAAATAGTTTGTGTGATTTAGCAATGCTGTGTCGGGATGCATTTGTAAAGGGGTAGGCAAAAAGTAAATGGTTTTGAAATATATGTTTTGGTACAATTATTTAAAAAACATTAGAAATTCAAATTTAATCCCCTTCTTTCCAACAGGACCATAGAAAATCAAAATCAGAAGCCACAAAAAATTGCCAAATAGCTTCCTGTCTGAAATTCAATCCCATTATAAATCCAGCTTTACTGTAAAGGACTCTGAGTTTTCTTAGAGAGCATTAGAGAATAAGAGGCATTGAAACTACAACAAAAAATGTGGACCTAAATAGGATGGTTTAGATTGGTGGTGTCCAATTAGTTCTCAAATACTCATGTCCTGCAAGTTTTAGATATTTATTATTCATGCAGAGACCCGATGGGGGCTGGAGTTTGGCACCCCTGAATAAGAGCAAAGCATATATTTGCATGTGTTAGAATGACCCACTTAGAGTACTGAAAAACTGATGTTAACAGACACTCTCCATCCATCCAGTCTGACGGAACTGAGATGTAAATAAAAAAAGGAGTTACCAGATGTGCGACAGCTCTTAGAGACATACCCCTTGAAGCATCTGTAGTTGTAACAAAAAGGTATTTCTTTTTGGAGTCGAATGATGAATGCCAATGCATGCTAGATTTCTAATTGTTAAAAAAAAAAATGAAACAATGATTCTCCCTCCAATTCTCAAAAATGCACTTCTTAGTGTTCTAATCAAACTTTTAAACAACATACTGTATGTACATACACTTCACATCAAAAATTAACTGAAAAGCACCTTGTGTAACACCCACACCTGATGACAAGGTAAAAATCAGGAAAACATTTTTTCCGGACATGACAGTCAGATCCCTCATTGTTGCAATGCTTAGTCAAATCCTTAACACCTCTGTTAGAAACTCATCCATTTCTGTAATACTAATCCAGCAGAAGCAGAACAGATCTCAATACTATTACCAAATGCTGCTGCTATCCCTCAAAGGGCCTTAGAGTGATATCTGGTCCAATTTATTGATGTAATTAAGATCAGTCCCATCACATTAGTCTTCAGATCAGAGGCCTGGCATGCTAACAAGCATCTTCTGTGGCCTTGTTAGCTTCCATTAAACAACAACATCATTGTTGCCTCACCAATGATGGCACACTATTACAGAAGAGCTGCTGTCCACCTCATTAGACCTACTGGGGGAAAAAAACAGCTAATTGCCAATTAAAGACAAACAGATGGATGTCCCTGCTTTTCTATGTCTGCTTATGATCCAAAATGAGAACATATTTGCTGAGAAATGTTATGAGATGTATACTTTTATATTTAGAATCCTTACTGGTAAATATGAACCGGGAGCTTACCACCACAGACAGGATCATACCTCCTTTTTGCTGCTTTTATTGTCCACATGCCGCAAGTTGCTTTTCACCTTCAGGAACTCGGCTGATAGCGGCTCTTGAGGAGGCTGGGGCGCTGGATAGCTAGGGGCAGGTGGGGGCCCTGGGGGAGCTTGAGGAGGAGGTGGTGGAGGATATGTTGGAGGTGGTGGAGGCTTGGATACAGCAACGGCAATTGTCTCATCCGTATTAGCAGCGATGTCTGGGTTCAGCATATCCATGTAGGCCTGCATGTCTGAAATAGCTGATTCTGGTGCACCTGTGTTGCAAATAATGAATACACAGATGACAGTCTAGGAACACAAACAATACTTATACACTACCGTTTTTCATTTCACACAATAAATCTGGTTTGCTAGCGAAAAACCCAGGTAAAATATGAATGAAGAAACATGACAGTGGAATTAGTAAAAAACAAAGACCATCTGTGGACAAACCACTAGGGTGCAGCACCAGTATGTAGAGCACCTGAGACAGCCCAAAGGTAACAAAATTAACTGGGTGCTTAAGTATATTTAAGGCAATAATGAAACAGTGATATTATAAAATAAAAAAAAAGGTACAAATGCCAAGTTAAAATCAAGAGACCTTGATGTGCCACTGTATTTAGCTGGGTAGGAGGGCCTCGAGATGTTGTAAGGCTGCTTCTCTTCTCCCCGGTGCTGGACTGGCTGGAGTTGGCAGAGTCATAGTTGGACAGAGAGCTGGATGGTGAACCGATGTCGAAGTGTACTGCCTGGTTGGCTGGAGGCATGGTGGTGTTTGGAGACGAGAGGCCCGAATCTGGCTGCTTAGACTCAAGCTCAGTTGAGGGGTCTCGAGACAAAACGCGATGCTCCACACTCTGTCCAAGGGTTATGAAGGAAAGCATCACTGAAAAGTGCCTGGCAGAACTATTCATAGCCCTTAGGACTCCTTCACATTTTTTCCAACCCAAAAATAAAAGGAATTTTTTCACAAAGTAGATGTGAGTGGGAAAAATACACATATGAAGTATTATGTCCCGTATAGCTCAAACAGACTGACTGACATTAAGCTACATCTATCTAAGCATAAACTCTAAACACATTTTCTGTCTCCACTCAAAAAATCTATGGAACCAAATCAAGTCAGTATTCTTTTAATTAGCCACTAACTTTAGTTAAATCATATATTAATAAGTCAGAACAAATCTCAGTATTAATTATCTATATGTTCAGAGAACAGGTCATAAACTCTCTCACCTCTCAGTCCCTCATGAATTAAGTGAGGATAAAATGAAGCTAAGTTTAATTACAGCACATTAATGAAACTTCTCACAGCTGATCAGAACAGCTCTGGGGCTTTTGTCTGCTCCCAAAGGGCTCATGTGGCTTCGTGTCCCTCATGACAAAGAACATAAAGCAAAGAAGGAACAGTATGTCTCCCCAGCACTGCCGTGGCTTTAATTGCTCTGCGCACTCTGGGACTTTAATTTGCTACTTATATAGGATGCTGTAAGTCAAGCTTTAGTAATTTGATGAAAAATTTGAAATAACGTGAGTTCAAAGAGAACAGAGAGCCAGCTGTCTATGTATATGCGGAAGCATCTGGTTAGTATGTTTATTGTGCTGTCTGACATTTCAGCCAGTCAGATCAATGAATTCGATATTTTACTGCTATTCAACCTAAAATGTTATTTTATAAAAAAAAAAAAAAAAAAAAAACAATTTATGCTTCACTTGAAAAATGCCTAAATAAATCTTTTTTGGAAAATCTCCTGATTCAATGACAATCCAGAAAGGAATAGATAAAAAAAAAAAAACAACTATTCACATCATCTCTACAGAACACATGCAATTGAATTAATAATAGTAGTAAAGTATGAAAATGCAAGGATTGATTGAGCTAAAGCTCTACATTGTTGCAATGAGCCTCACATGTAACCCACAGCATTATGTAACAGCAGCCTTAACAACGGGTGCGTATAAGTGAACATGTACTGAGTCATTGATTGTGTAATAGTCCCTTAATAAAGGTCCAGTTTTAGTGCAGAAATAATGAGGATTTGTAAAGAATTACGGTTAGTACTCTGTGAGAAAGAAAGTAAACAGCTCAACTTTTAATTTTTTTTATTTATAAAGGAAATATCTTCTAATTTAGTAAACCCAAGGCCTTATTGATTATGACTTACAGCAATCAGTTAATTTTCTTTGTCTACATATACAAAAAATGATTTGTTAAAAATCACTCAGTAGGACTTTGAAATGTCCGAAACAACAGGGAGGTCCAACTAATTACAAAAACTACAAAATTTTGAAGATATTCACAAGTTTGGAAAAACTAATTGGAGCCATTTCTAAACAAGCACAGATTTTTCTTAGAGAGCAAGACAGAAAAAAATAATTTTTTTTTATGTAGTTGTCTCCAAGGACTGAGAGGCCACCGACAAAGAAATAAACCTCTGCCACAAAATTAACATCTTAAAGTTTGAATGGAATTTGAGGCTTATACACCTGGACGAGCTAAATGTTTTGCACAAAGACAAAAAGTGTTCTGGAGCCTTTAAAACTTTAAGAACAATGTGCAGCTGTTTTATTCCATCATCATTCTGTTGACTGTTTTAATGGACAGTGGATGGAATAAAGATGCTGTAGGATTTTCAGCAAACTTATTAACCTTATATCCAACAAGCAACAAGGAAGAAAACCTTGGAAAAAATCTGATATTCTTTTAAGTCACCAAGACTGGTTTTGGAATCCACAAACTGGGTCAACATTAAGCTACCTTCCCTCAAGCTCCAAATTTTTGATACAGCTTCTTGAAGGATGAGTATTTACAGAAAAGCACGGTAATAATTGAGCCTGTAATTATAACTTGGACCCTTTCTGGATTAGAGATAATTCCAAATATGTATTTTACACCCAGTTTGTGATTTTAATGTGTTGCATGATTCAATCTGAGAAAAGAAAATGACATAAAAGGAAAAAAATATAAAATAAAAAGGCCAAGATTTTGCCAACAATATTGCATGTAATTTTTCTTTGTACCAAAACCTTCATATTAATGAGTAGTATATGGTTTGTAGCCTGAGAATACCCTAGCTCAGAGAAACAGTGTTGCATAAGCTTATAGGTTCAACACTAAAAAGTTTCATAATCTAGCTATACTTGCCATCATTGCTTATAGTAGCAGTAATTTCTACTTTAGTTGAACTATTTAAACATTAAATATCTAAAAATAAACAAACAAAAAAAAGGAACTGCAATTCCAAACTACAAACTAAACCTGACAAAGAGGCTGACTCAGAAATTACATCACAGCTTGGCTCTGTTTACCAGTGGATCAGAGTTCAGCAGTGATGGCAGTTTAGCCACGGTTCTTACCATGTTTTCCACTGTGCGCAGATACTTGGCACACTGGGAGTGGCCATTGTATTCTGCAAGGTCTGCAGCTGTGAAGCCATCCTGGTCCCGTATGCCCAAGTCCACCCCATTAACCACAAGAATCTGGCAGCACTGCATAGAAGAAAGAGGACAAGTTTTTTACAGATGATTATAGGAACAAAATAGAGCTTTAGTGCCTCAGTCAGTCTGGATTAGTGATGACAAGCTAATCTACATAATTACTTTTGAGGTAATTACGTAGATTAGATTTGCACAAACATTGGGGAACCTTGGAGAAGTCTTCGACATACATTGTACTGAAATGATTAAATTCTTATCTGATAGAACATTCTCTTTTAGGATAAGTACCTTATCACTGTCCGGTGCTCCTCTTTTGTGTGGAGTTCCACAAGGCTACATTCTTGGTCCCATTTACTTTTCATTCTATAAGCTGCTATTTTGGATAAATTACATATGGCCTTCCACTGTCATGCAGACAACCTACAACTTTACTTCTGTTTTAAACCAGGTTACAGCTCATTTCTCTCTCATGAATAACTGTTGTTAAATAATGGCTAAATTAAAAACATTGTAATTTAAATAACAAGAACAACCAAATGTATTTTTATTATTTTGTGAAAATGTCACCAAAGATGTTAGTTTTCAGCTCATAAATTAGAAAAAAATGTTAGATGCATTGACATGTGATAGGGGTTTGAATAAATAAATCAACTCTGCAGTCGAATCAAATTTTTATAATGTGCGTCTTCTAAAAAAGTTCAACCTTTTTTGTATTGGGCGGACTTAGAGAAGGCGGTTGATGCTTTTATTACCTCTAAACTTGATTAATGCATTGACTCATTATTGTTGTCTCCCAATTTTCCCTTTAACATCTTCAGCTTGTCCAGAAAGTAGCTGCTTGTCTAACATCCAACACCTTATGAGCACATCACACCAGTCTTAACCTTTTTAAGCCAACTTCCTGTCCCTTTGTATGTTTGAACATGGTTCCATCATATTTAGCAGAGCTTTCGTGTCCAAAGTTCTTTCTCGTTTACTTAATATGCCAAGGACCAGGTCTGGTAATGGAGTCACGGGGCATTTTTTAGGGGCAGAACCCTGACTATGTCTGACAAACTTACGATAGACCTTCACTCCATCACGCACCAAGCAGCATGGTGGCAGTTTATCTAAGATTCTTATTTTCTGCTCTAATGGCTGAATGTTTGGCTTTTTTAAATGAAATGTTCTGCTCATGGTTATGATGTTACTGTGATTATGGGGATTTTTGGCTAAATTGGTTGTTTTAAATCACCCGATAAATCTGTGAGTTACCTGAATTAAAAATGTACCGAGACATAACAGTTTTTTCCCCATTTTTAATGTAACAATTACTAATGGTAGAATCATTGGTCCAAATCCTTTGGAAGGTATTAACTAGAGCATGTAACACAAAAAATACAAGATAACCACTGTTCTCTTGCAAAACTCTTTCAACTACTCTAACAACGAAATACACTTAACAGTAATTATTTACTGTTCGCTTCTGTCAGTGAGCCCCAGGGCAGCTGTGGCTACAATGTAGCTTGCCACCATCAGTGTGTGAGTGTGTGTGTGAATGGGTGAATGAATGTAGTGTAAAGCGCTTTGGTCAAGTCTCCTAACTTGAATAAATGCGCTATATAAGTACATGCCATTTACCATTTACCATTTACCATTTAAATTACATTTTTCTGAACATGAAATTATAAATTAAAATATCGACTAAATAGAGACTTGCTGCAATAATATTTCTAATAGGAGCACATGAACATCAATTAAAGGAGAAGGCTGCAGAGTTTATATCACTGAATGACCACACATGATAAGTTTACAGTCGTCGTATTTGGGAATCCTAGCATTACTGAAGACAGTTGTCACATTTTTAGCAGATCTTTTTAATAACTAGACAATATCATAATTGTGTGAAAAATAATTTGTAAAAGCTTGTCTGGATGTTGGCTCAAAAACGTTGCCACATCACTTGCAAGTTATGAAGTTATTGAGTTAACTACATTATAACTGGCAACAACAAAAAGATTTATTGACAGGTATAGTCTTAAAATGTTTTTTCTTTAGGCACACCAGTTTCCAAATAGAGCCCCGAATATAATTATTAACATAAATATAAATATTCATTTGACTGAACTTTTCTACATCTTTTTAGGTTACATCCACACAATTTTATGCGTTTTGCTGGAATGTATGCGATTAAACAAAAGCAAATAATAAATAAATCCAAAAAGTGGGGTGTCCATGTCATTGGCTAGTACATATAATATTAATTAAGTTTTTAATTTTTCTTTGAGCTTGATCAGACTTTGTCACAGCATTACTATTAGTCAAAACAGCAGGTTAGTACTGAGGTGAAAACCATATGCTAGTGGAAATCTATTCAAAACAAGTGGTCTATTAAACTCCACCTGGTTGAATTAGCATAGAGAATAGAAACAAAATTCTCTTTTCTTAAAATTGTTTCCTTTAGTATTTTATTTATTTTAATCTTGTAATTTTTTGAAGCGTTTTTTTTTTTTGAGTGACATTATTGTTCAAATGGCAAAGCCTTAAGTTTTTAAAAGAAACTCCAACCATTCATTGCCCGCACCTCCAGTTCACCATTCTCTGCAGCATCATGAAGGGGGGTCCCTCCCCAGTTGTCAGTGACGATCTCTCCCCCGTGCAGCAGCAGCCAACTGAGCACCTTTGCATGACCCCGGCTGGCTGCAAAGTGCATGGCTGTGGCACCATCACCATCCCTGTCTGTCAGGCTGATTTCTGTAAAACTCATCTACAGGGTTACATTTGAAAAATATAACTCACTAGTATTCAGTGATTTCATGACTCTTTGGGTAAATGAGAAAATGTGGCCAATATAAAAACAAAAGGAAAATTAAACTTTGCAAATGTTGTTAATAGTTTGTAAGGATCAAATCTGTATTTTTCAACACACCAGCCAGACGATAACAGTGTTGTGGCCCATCTGAGCAGCAGCGTGCAGAGATGTCATCCCATCATTGGCTCTGATGCTCGGATCTGCCCCGCAGTCCTTAACCAGGTATTGGACAACCTCCAGATGACCCTCCTGGCAGGCCAGGTAGAGTGGCGTGGCACCATTCTTAGTTTGGGAGTTGACAACACTGCAGGTAAATAAAACCACAAGGCTTGACAATCATGGATACATTAAAAATAAACCTGATTAGTGCTGCTAAATTTAAAATGGAAACAATGTTTAAACAAGTCATTAAGAAGGTTTTAGGTTTACCCTCCGAAGGAATTTCTGATACCCTATGTTAATGCAGGCATTGGGAAAGTTTTTTTTTTTTTTTTTTTTAAACCGAAAGAAATTACACTAAAAGATTTACAGTCAGTTTGCTTTGTAACACTATTATCCTAGATATATAAGGAAGCATTGACTTCACATATTCTATGTTCTGAAATATAATATATAATACAGTGCAATTTATTTTTTGTGGGGTTTTCTGGGATTACATCATAGACAAAATAAAACAGGCAAACAATGAGGAAATTTAATGAAAAAAATTCAAGGTTTTCAAAAATGTTTAAACCTACAATCTGAGAAGTGTGTCATGCAGCTTCCTTGATCTAATACTGTTCAGAGCCATCTTTTATTGCTGGCTCAGGCATTATGTTTAGATCTTCCAGAGTCAGGTTGAGAATCTACACACTTCCCTCTTTAGCAAATCAATAAGTGCATTGAAATGTGACAGGAGTAACTTGAAGTGGATCTACAGCTTTCAGATTACAAAATGAGGCACAACATAGAGCCAGAGTCCTTCAGTGTGAAAGCCCCTTGGTGACAGGTGCTGAGTTTTGTTTTTTGCTTTTGGTTTGCTGGTCACTTGTTGCAATCAGCCTGACTGTGTGGCTGGGGAGAGGGATGTCTGGGCCTCCATACTGAAGCTGCTACCCCTGCAACCCGACCCTGGATAAGCGGAAGTGGATGGATGGATGGATGGATGGATGGATGGATGGATGGATGGATGGATGGATGGATGGATGGATGGATGGATGGATGGATGGNGATGGATGGATGGATGGATGGATGGATGGATGGATGGATGGATGGATGGATGGATGGATGGATGGATGGATGGATGGATGGATGGACTTTCAAAAGAAAAGGAGTATTGTATTGATATTTGCTCAAGGTTATCAGAATAAACAAAAACTACTCAATACATACACACACTAATAAAACGCCAATAAAAAATCCGCTTATGGCATGCCAAACTTCGAAGTCGATTAAGGCATGTAGATACACTTGCGGGACACCGGAATCACAGCTTTCATATGACTTCCATATTGGCTGATATGAACTGTGTGTAATTAGAGGCTGTTATAAAATCCTAAGGCACATAGTTTATATCTTTGGTTGTGCTAGATCAGTTTGTTGTAACACTGATTTACCTTTGGTTAATGGCACAATGACTGTAAATCACATTTTTATTCATTATGCAACACCTGGACGGATATAATCAAACTGTATTTCCACATTGTTCCAATGGTTCTTTGTATTCAACACAATCCTCTCTGGAAAAAGACTTTTCACCATGCAATCCCTTTTTTTAGCCTCAACTTTAGATGAGTAGAAGCGGTCTGACCGGAAGGGCAATAGACCTTTGTAAGTAGACAAGCAGCCATACCCTATTGAATCTAATTCACTGCTCTTTTTTTCCAAGGGTCTTTAGTCCTGCTCTCAAAGCAAAACCTTATCCGGTCCTCACGTCCCTTCTTGTCCCAGATATTCTCAGTCGCAGCGGGAGGTCACGGAGTAAACGAGCACTTCCCCACTAAATCCCATAAGGTCGTGCTTTATTTGGACTCTGACAAATGAGCAACGAGTCTCTTAAGAGGATTATCAGTCCACTAGCTTTGCTTGACTCGCGATATGCCTAACTGAGAGTCGCCAGTGGGCAAGAGGAGCTGAGCATTAAGGTGCATAAGGAAGCTAAAGGGCTATGTTATCACTCTGTAAGAGTTGGATCATTAAATTTATACAGGCTGTAGTTAAAGTAAGCCAAACTAGTTTTATGGCATTTTGTTCTGAGATACATTATTTATTTGTAATTTCCCTTTGGGATTAATAAAGTATTTTTGAACTGAAAACACAATGAGATAATATCTCTTAGTGGAAAACAAATATTACAGCCCCACTTAAATGATCAAGTAAAGAGTTCCAAGTAAAAACAATTAGATGATGAATATTTTAACATAAGAAGAGGAAGTAGTCTGTGTTTCTATCATCAGGAAGTGAGCATGTTAATAAATCTTTCATTGATGTAACTGAAGTGGGCTTTGCTCACATGCTCATGCTTTTCTTAGAAAGAGAAATGTTTGTTGTTGTTTTCTTTCTATTCCAAAACTCTGCTATGATATGGTAGAAAAGGTCCCATTAAAACTACCAGGATCACACTGAAAGTGGGGCAACATAAAAGTAAAGAGGAGCTTCTGAGAAACAGGTGTAGATTTCAAAGGGTTAGGAAAGAGGTTAGTCTATTCTCTGACACAAGGTACACATTGGCACAGTCACTGTGCAAAAAACATCTCACACTAGAGTCAGAGACATATGATATATTTCCATTTCAGCTTCACTGGGCATTTTACCTTGGTAATAATCCGTCTACTGCACCTTTCCTTTCCAGAGTAACAAAGACGGCGGCTATCTTCATTGCAAGCAGAGTAATTGATGTCCTGCTAAGACGTTCTGTACTAATAGAGCATGATTTGGCATGCTCTGTGCTTTCCCTCTTTTAAATAATGAAGAATGGTACAGGGGGAGTGCGTGTAATTTAACCACATATTCATGTTTTGTTATAAAAAAAAAGACGGGATTTATCTGCAAATTCAATTAAGACAGAAGAGCGTCGCTTCTAAAAAAAGCAAAAAACTTTAACATTTTATTGCACTCCTAAATATGTCATCATCTGTTGTAACTAAGTAGAAACTGGTTGACTAAAATTATCTTCTTCAGATTTTAAGAAAAAAAAAAAATCTAATCTATGGGCTAGTTTTAATTAAAAAATACAAGAAAATTTTATGTTATTCACTTTTAAATGAGTTTAAGTCAACAACAATGAACTGGGATGTGGACACTTAGCAAAATGTTTTGTTGTGACCCACAACAGTGAGCAGCTGATGAGCCAGCAGGGAAGACAAGCCCACAGAAGTGGTTTTGTTTCCCTAATAGTCTCTAGGTAGTGAGACACATTCAATCTTAATTATCAAAACATTCAATCAAATCCAGTATTTTATAAATTACCAGCTTAAAAGGGGAAAAACACACCAGCTGTCTTTATAAGAAAGCCCAGATGAATACATCAAAACGTTGACTTAACAGCAATCCCTCATCCTGAGTAGGCACAAATATTTTCTTTTTTATATACACAATACACAATACCTATATCTACAAATATAGAAAAACTATGAATAATTATTCCAAAAATGGGTTGTTTTACATTGGTATGGCGTTGTTAAGGTCTCCTTGGTTATATTGCATTTTTTTCAGGATTTTTTTTTTTTGTAATAAAACTGTTCAAAGTGAATATGAATGAGCTTGTATCAATAACTTACGGTACAAGAAAGACTAGAGAGTAAAGTAGGTGCAGCTAAGGTGTTTCAAGGTATTTGAACCAAAATCGCATTTATTCACCCTTTTTCTCTAAGAGCTGCCAAATTTGTAAAAAGGTTATTAAAGCCAGGAGTAGCTTTAAGTGGTTACTATTAGGGCTGGGTAAAAAAATCGATTTAATCAATTTTGAATCGATTAATTTACATTTTTGCAGAATCTATGTCTAGGGAATGAGATCGATTAGTTTTATAGTGACGCGCGAGACGTTCACACTTAAATGAGCAGGAAAGATGCACTCAAGATAACTTCAAGCCAGACAGCTGCAAATATAGCCAATAGGTTGACTGAAGACATTAAAAAATGGGGGCTTCCCATCCTGTAGTTGTTACAGACAACGCTGCAAATATAGTTTGTACAGTGGCGATAAAGCAGCTCATGCATGTCTGCTGTGTCCCTGCTGTGTCACGTCTGCTCGCTCGAGTGAGGCTTCACTTTTTCACTTTTCACAAACAAGTTTGCACTTATGAGACAGTTTTGTTCACATCTCAAGTTTAAACTGTCTGATTTACAAGTTTGCGCTTTGTGTTTAATGTGACAGAAAAAACAAAATACATGAGTATTTTGAAACACGGTTAAACCACTTTTATTGTTGTAAAAACAGATCGAATCGAAATTAATCGATTTAGCACTGTATTAAACAAAAGAAAATCGATTCAGGACTGGCGAAAATACCCAGCCCTAGTTACTATAATACTAAAACTTAATTAACACTACACTAACTCCAACTTGAAAAATTTTGTTATATAGTCACAGCTTCATCATTTCACTTATTGATTTTAACTATAAACATACCCAAAATAAAGTTATTGTTTGGTCTTTTCCCATTTCTGCTAATGTTTAAACCTTTGCTTTTACATGATTCTTTACACTTCCAGTCATTTTCATTCACCTCATAATCTCATACACTTATTTTCATTTAAAGGCATACTGGATGTTTCTATGAGGTGGTGGTGTGTGTGTGTGTGGGGTGTGTGGGGGTGAGGAGCTAAGGAAAGGATGGACTCAGTGCGGGGGAGGGGGATTCCACTAGACGTTTAATGGTGAATGAATGAAGATAGACAAGGAAAAAAAAAAATCAAGAACTGGCAGGCAGGAGAACTTTCTGACAGTAGCAAATAACCTACATTTTTGAAATAAGAATATTTTTCCATAATCTTATAATTTTTTTTTTCTATTTTTTTTTAACCTAGAAAACAGTAAAACCATTCATTATAAAAAAAAAAAGTATACAAACTTTCTTTTACTGCCATAGTATATGAAGAACAAAAAACAGAAGAGAAAAGAAGACTTTAATCAATATGCTTTGCCAGTCCTCACTTCTGATGGAGCTTAATAACTTGCTGGATTATCCCAACACAGAGCAGCACCTTTCTAAACTTCATGGTGGAACGGTTTCTAGGCTAAAGGTCTTAATCTGCACTAATGGATTACATAAGGCGTCTGCAGCTTCCCCCTTTATTATCTCTCCGTTTCTGTCTTCATTCAGTCACTCTTTTGTGTAATGAGGACACTGGACTTTTTGTTTCGGCTCACTGCAAAGAATCTGTGGGCAAATTTCCCAATTGGGGGCCTTTCAAAACTCTTAAAAAATAACTAGGAAAAGACATGCAATTACATCTACTGCAACACCACAGCCCGAGCACAAAATCAATGCAACAGCATGAAAGAAAAATGTTGTATTAGCTTCATGCTGTTTTATTCAGAGAGGATTTTTAAGAGAGTATTTTTTTTTGAAGATGGGCTACATTGCATTGCTGCCTAAGAAGTTTCCGGGTTCGATTCCTACTTTTCTGCATGGAGTTTGCATGTTCTCCCTGTGCATGCACAGGTTCTCTCCGGGCACTCCGGCTTTCTCCCAAAGTCCAAAAACACGACTGTTAGGTTAATTGGATTCTCTAAATTCTCCTTAGGTGGGAGTGTGTGCTTGAATGGTTGTTTGTCCTGTTTGTCTCTGTTTTGCCCCGGCGACCTGTCCAGGGTGTACCTCGCCTCTCACTCATAGACAGCACCCCTTGGACCCCAGCTAAGATAAAGCATGACAGAAAAAATGGATGGATGGTTTTTAAGACTGTGCGTTGAAGGTTTTAAAATGTAAACACTAAATAATTCCAGAGTTCAAAGAGATGTGACATCCATGTTTTACTGAAATGGTTGTTGTTAAACTCCATCCTAAATGTGCACAAGTATGTCTGCCTGAAATCTTATACTGGAATTTGTGAAAATTGTCTCGGTTTCTTTGTTTTTTAAGGTTTTCTTAAGTAGATCACTCATTTAATCTCCTCTATATGACCCCTGCTACCTTTGAGCTTGTGTCTTTCCCTGTTCTGAAGAAGCTTATACAGTGGATGAAACCCTCAGGTTCCCCCACTGATCCTATTCCCCCTTGCCTTCATAAAGATGTTCTTAATACCACAGGACCTTCTGTCCTGGCTGTTTTCAGTAGCACTACAGACACAACTGCGGTCCTCAGTGCTTTACAGCATGTTGTTGGATGCAGCCTTTAATTAACTGCTTTTTTTTTTTTTTAGATAAATCTTTAAGGTCATCTTCCATTGAAAGATTTTAGAGAAAAGTATTTTTTCCACAAATAAATTCATTTTCAGATAAACATTTTCATCCATCCATCCATCCATCCATCCATCGGATTTCCATGCAAACACTCACACCTGAGGACAATTCTAAAGAAGCCAGTTAACCTAACAGTCATGGTTTGGACTGGAGGAATCCAGAGTACCCGGAGAGAACCCATGCATGCACAGGAAGAACATTTAGAAGGAATCGAACCCAGAACATTCTTGCTGAAGACAACAGCGCTACAAACTGTGCAACCGTGCAGCCCACTAGAAACATTTTATTTAACTATTATTTCTATAATCCAACAATTTTCTAGCAACTGTCTCTGTTATTCTTTACTTTATTATGCTTTCTTGTTATGAAGATAATCGGACATAAGACTAAATGAAAAAAAGAAAAACAAAGATGTTGCTTGTTTACATTTATGCCCTGCAGTCATACTCTCATTATATTACACTATAGTAAGACACTTGTTACAAATGCAGTGATGTAACAAAGACCGCCTTTTAATCTCTGTGGTCTTTCAGGTACAAATAAATCAGCAGTAACAATCTAAACATAGAGATAAATATTTGTTCTTTTTTTTAATTCCTACGTATTGAATTTAATCTCCACTTTTTATTCAGGGCTGTAGAATCAAGAATGGCTTCTCTGTACAAATGGATTTGTTTCCCTCATTATCTTATCACCATTTGGTGCTTCTGTGTGTCACTATGGAGACGATGGTAAACAACAGTGGAGGGAGGGGTAGAGCTGAGGACTGAATAGGGCCAGGCTATCAGGGAGCTGCAAGGTCCCTGAGGAGCATTAAATTTTTAGCAGGTATGTACCCATCTGGGGTACTTCCACACAATACCGAAGGTACAAAGTGCCTCATCATTTTGATGTCATTTGTCTCCATATTGCTGCAATAACAACACAGGTTTGTATTCTATTTTATTAGAAATTTGGAATAAGAGGCTTTCATTTCACCTTTTGATTATTTCACACGTTCTCTACAAAAAACAGCTTTGAAAAGTAATGCTGAACCATAAAACAAAAATTAGGCACTAAAACATCCCGCAAGTATAAATATATTTAATTATTCTTAAGCAGCCTTTTTAAAAGACTTTGCAATCATACCAAGTCTTTCAACCCCAAGTAACTTATAGTAAAAACTGTTTACTCTAGTTAAAGTTTAGTCTACCAAGCAACTGGCCAATAAGAACAATCATCCAATGTTTGTGTGACTAGCTCAGATAGGTAAACAGCTGATCTAAAACAAAGGATATTTTCAATCCTGATCATTCAGTCTAATATCAATGAAAACTTCTTTGAACAATAACATTGTCAGCACAAAGTGTTGTCTGATACACTTATTCATTTTAAATGAAGCAAAACCCCATAACAGAAATATTCTGATTTATGCTTTATTACATAAATGGCTGCTGCTTAGTAATTTCTTGGTGTTCACACGATTACCTCTATCAAGGCTTTTGAATGAAAGTCAAATGAAAACGAATGAGTTTCTGTGTTCTATTGTCATCAGAAAAGGTGCAGTTTGACAAAAACCAGCGTCGCTGTGTGAGACCTAACTCTAAGTTCAATTCAATTCAGTTTATTTATATAGCGGCAATTCACAACATGTCATCTCAAGGAACTTTACAATTCAACCAGATCATACAGTCAAATTGATTCAAAGTTTTCTATCTAAGGAAAACCAGTTGATTGCATTGAATTGAAGGCAATCCCTCACACCAAGCATGCTTGAAGCGACAGTGGAGAGGAAAAACTCCCTTTTAACAGCTAGAAACCTACAGCAGAACCAGGCTCATTGTGAGCGGCCATCTACTGGATTTGAGGACGACTGGGGTTCAAGGAGACAGAAGCAGACATACAGAAAGAAGCAGAGATACAAAAGGCAAATGTTCACCATCTCTACAGGCGGTAGCGTCCTGTGGGGTCACCTGTGGATAAATAAAAACTTGACGCTGGTCTTTGCCAGGAAAAGTCTGATCAGTAAATGTCATGTATTCTAACTTGAAGATTCAGCCACGTGTTGACCAAAGATAACATAAAGGCAGAGCATTGTACAAAGAAAATGGATCTCTTAAAAGATGTTTGTTATATCAGGTTATATATGGATCCCACGCATCAAGTAGAGATATCTGAAACTAATCTGCCAGGTGTTTATAGAACTATGTAAACAGCTTTTCTGTTCTTTACAAGGGTGTGTGACTTGAGTTACCAATGAAAAATCAGTAAGTCCCACTGCAAACATGTTCATGTAAGAAACTAATTAACGATAATGCTAAAAATATGAGACTATGAATTAAGAAACTGACGCAGATCTACAATTAGTTGCAGTTGGTACTGTCTCGACAACACAAACTGATTTGAAAGACTACTCTTGTACAGTCTTGTTGCAATTATACAACAGTGCTTTTTCCCCCAAAAAAGAGATGCATAAAGAAATTAAATTGGCCTGACTGGTCAATAGCTTATCAGAAACCCAACACTGATGAGCTCAGCCAATTTGTAGTGACAAACAAAAAACAAACAAACACAAAAACACTACCTGCCTTCTGAAGTTGTTAATGCATTAAAAAGACAAAAGTTATTGACAATATAGGCGGTAGACAAACCCATACCCCTGCTTCACCACAGTATGGGGGAAAACTGTCAAAAGTGTTAAATATAACGTACACATTATACAATTAAAGTTACTTTAACAGAACTAAATGTTCTCAATTGATAGGTGGGTGTACAGCATGACTAAGTGAGAATGGAGGTAAGAAAAACATCTAAACATCCATGATATTTTGATAATAAACAAAAGAAATAATTCATATAAAGGAATGTCTTGTTTCAGGATTTCATGTAATCGTATTTAAATAAATAAAAAATATTTAGCTCAAATGTGTGAATTCTGTGAAGGACTATGGTGTTTTGTTTACACACAAACATTGTAAACTTAATCCTGTAAACAAATTAAATTGTAGCCTCTAAGGATAGCTTTACAATCGACATTATTCTGATTAAATGACTAAAGATAAGGGGGAAAGGGTAACATCTAAATCAAACTGGCCACTGGTGTGAAAGGAATCATTTTAAATGATGTGAAGACAAATCTTACTTTGGGCTGTGTCCCAGTAACAGTCGGAGAGAAGCCAGGTCTCCCTTGGCAGCAGCATAATGGACAGGAAGGGCTCCTGTATCTGTGGAGGCACCAGGGTCCACCTCACCACTCTTCAGCAGCCATTCAGTGATCTCCTGGTGACTGAAGCGACACGCAAGGTGGAGAACCGTGGCTCCAGAGCTGTCCTTATCCTGCAAATGGACCAAGCAATGCTAAATTCAGGGCATAATCTCTCTGTGGTAACCTATAAAATCAAGGCGATCAGGGTACAACTGGTGAAAAGGGTGAGTTATCTTTTAAAAAAAACTTTCAAGAGGTGAAAAAAAATATGCTCTTTAAACTAAGGAACTAGTAAAAAAAAAAGGCTAATTCATGTGATCTCTGTAGAAATGGTCCACCCTCCCATTTGTAATTAAAATTCCTCCTAGCCATGCATGGGTCACACACTTTATTTTTTTACATTTTCTGTCAAAGTTCAACAACAGAACAGTAAACGGATGCTCTCTGGAGTATAACAGGACTATGTCACATAACATCTGTCTGTTATTTCATTTTTCTGACATCTCCCAAACCTACTTCATTCTACTTAAAGGAGGTAAAGCAGGTTTCATGGATAAACTATATTTGTCTTGAGGCTTAAAGATCTGTATGACAAAATCTAATATACATTTGCCTTAACGTTTTTAAATTTACAATGCACATTTTTCATATCTGTGGTTCTGCAGATGAAAGGTAATTCAAATTATGCATAACTTTTGAGTGTCTGCAAATTGACTCTAATTCTCTGGTTGTACATTAGGACTAAAATGTTATTAAAAATATATTATTACTTAAATAAAACATAATAAAAGATTTATTGTGATTAGGTTTCTGAGACACCTTTATGTTTCAGATAATCAGATACGTTTTAAAACTAGACAACGATAATTGAAACTAATAAAAAAAATCTATTTTCTAAGCATGCTTTCATTTATTTAGTAGAAAGATCAATCAAAAACAACCAGGCACATTTTCTTTTAGTTGCTTTGTACGATTAAAATCCTGAACACCGACGTTAACAAAGAAAAGTGACTTTAGCAGTGCATTTGGTGGTTTTCTGCATTTATTTTATCATTGTTCTTTTGCAGTAAATCTGATTGGCCAGCTTCACCTAAAAATGTTCACCAGTGTTCCATGTTTTCTCTGTTTGTGGATGATGGTTCTCAGTTTGTGATAATTGACAAAACGTTTGTCCTACATCTGTTCTTTAATCATGTCACTAGACAAACTTTTTAGAAATAGTTTCTTAATAGTTCAGGTCTGAAAGTCATCAGGTCTGGGTTTGGTTACTGAACCAAATAAGTGATTACTTATTTTTTTAAAGGAAAATTAACTTTCACGAAGGGGCCACTATGGTCTGGATATCAACATTGCCTTTAAGTTGCAGAATAAATCAATAAAAAAATTGAACTTTATTGATCTCACTATGGAGAAATTACCTCTGCTTTTAACCTATCGCCTTTAGGGTGCATAGGGCTGCCATTGTGCAGCGCCCGGGGAGCAATCAGGGTCAGAGTGGCAGTCTGTGGGAGAGGGTTTTGAACTCACAACCTCAGGATTCCAAGCCCTATGCCCTAACTGTTAGGTCGCGCTCCCCACTACTGTTGAGTTCATATTATATTAGTACCTTCAGGGATAAATAGAGAAAGAAAATCACATATTTTTTCTAACTGCCTTGTTTGATATCAATTTAGATATTTGCAAGTTTGAAAATCTGCAAAAGCCCAGACAAGATGAGAGTTAAGGACGGGAATCAAATTATTAGTCAGTATAAAAATTTAGACACATGTCAATGTGACAAACTTTAAACGTAATATGGGAGTGGTGAAATAAGGGAACACTAGAGCCAACATATGTTAAAAAAAGTTTTAAAAAGACGTAAAGAGAGATTGCTAAGAAGTCTTAAGGTCAATAATGAAGAACAGTGCTATAAATAAAAGTTAAAATTAAGATGCATCTTTTTAAAAGGGCAGTAATAATGAACAAATAGAGACAATCAGGACAAAAATTCAAATTCAACTATTGTCCCATAGTATGACACCCTGTTCCAAATAACACTACATATTATCTTGTTATGGTTCTTATTTTTAGACCCATTTGGTTACATGACGATTCCTACAAGAACTAGCATACTTATAAAATCAAGTGTCTTGGAAGAACGAACATACATATATACATGATGGTTTTATTAGATTCAGCACAATAAAGAACTTCTTACTTCAACACCTGACCCATCACAGAATATTTTAAAAGACAATATAGTACAGGTCTAACTACTTGGAAACACAAGCTGGATCTCTTTATTGGCTGTGATTAATTTGCATGCACTGGGAACATGATGTAACTGAGTCCACATGGAGTTTAAGTCGACATGTGAGGGTTTAACCTTTGCAGTATAAACACCCCTCCATGTTTCACATTAACTGAACTGACATTACATTTTTGTGACCCTCAATAAAAGCTGTCAATGCTGAATAAGGGATATTAGGTATGCAAACTGAGCTTTGCATACCTCATCACCATGGTAACATCAGACTGCAGCAAGGTAAGTTTCAATAAGAAAAACGAGGTTTACATTTAAATGCGCTTCTAATCCTGAATGTGTGCACAATGTTACCGGCAAGTATTCAAATGCTTCACTTTTCCACATTTTGTTACAAACCAGACTTATTCTACAACTGAACTGAGCATAAATCTAAGTTTGACAAAAGCCCACAATGACAAATATTAGTTTCATTTTCTCTAAATCTAAAAAAGAACTGCTAAAATGGAAACATAATAGATACAGTACATAAATATTCACATCCCTTACTTTGACACTGAAAAGTAAGTTCAGGATTTAATTTCTACTAAGCTTTTTTGAGACACTTCCACAATTTATGTGTGGTAAATTAAGTTAAACATGGTTATGAATGGATCACACCTGTCTGGTTCCTCATGCATAGAGAGAAAACCAGTCAGTTACATTGTAGACCTCAAAGACCAGACAAGTTTGGGTCAAAGCATAAACATGGTTAAGGATATAAATCAATCCTACAGCATTGAACATATTAAAAAGCACAGTGATTCCTTTAGACAGAAATAAATAAGGTTACCACTAATATCCTCTCTAGACCTAGCAGCCCAACTTCATGGAATCTGGAAAGGGGGGCTTAGCACAGAGACATGATCAACAACCAAACAGTCACAAATGTTAGGTGCTGATGGTTCCTTCAGAAAATCAGGTAAATACAGGCCAACCATTGCTAATGCGCTCCTCCAATCAGACCTATGATAAATTGGCTGGATGGAAGCATTGTTGGATGGGACATTCTACAGTGTTTGAATACCAAAATATTTGAGCTTAAACAACTAATTCTGTTTTCTAACCAGACTAAGATTACATTTTACAGCATAGGTCCCACTAGCATAGGAGTAGATAGAGGACGAGCCTCAGCAATCTGGATCATTCCAGCTTAAATGTAGGATTTCATTACTAAACACATTGTCACCAAAAAGATTAATAACGTAATTTTTCAATAATCTTTTTGTGTTTTTCAAATATTTTATTAAAGAGGATTTTAAAGTGTTTAGTTAATTACAACAAAGGAAATAAATGATGGTTTGCCATCAGATGCACCTTAACCCCACATATGTCAAAACTATTTCATTTTCTCTTACTAATTCTCATCATTTATAATGCAGAACTAAAATAGTAAGAAAGGTGACCGTTAGAGCTTTGAATTGGTGTTTTCAGCACCAAAGCTGTTTGGACAGCAGCCATTATATAGTGACATATAGGATCGATTATATAAATTATTGATGCAAGTTTCAAAAGACAGATTTGTTGCTTGCTATTTTCCCACAAGCTCTCATTATGGTGATTGATAATATGCACTAACAAGTTCAAGGCAAGCCAACTTTGCAAGGTTGAATCTAAAATGAATCTGGCAGACATTAATCTGGGGGATGCCATTAATTGTGACATTGTGTTGAAATGAATCATCCAGGAGCAGGAGAATGCAGTGGTGCAAGGGGTTTTTTCAATTTAAATAAAAGGTATAATTTCAGACTTTGCCTCTCGCCCATAGACAGCTGGCATCCCTCGCGTCCCTGCTTGGGATAAAGCATGTCAGAAAATGGATGGGTGGATGGCAAAATTTCTGTTTTTGACTGGCTCCAATTCCAAGAAACGCATTTCATTTTTCTTTGGGATTAATAAACAACTTTTGAATGGAATTTATTTGAAGTCATATCTCAGTTAATTCATCATCTTAAAATGGCATCGCTCGATAAATGATTTGTCAAAAATCCTCACAGCCAATTTCAAACAGTCCAAGTATGTTAACATGGGACAGAATACTTCCACTCCTATTTTATCTGGAATTATACCAATTCCTCATTCTCATCACAATGAAAACAGACATGATGAATTGATAAATCTGGTCAATTGATCAGAGGAGGCAAACAAAAACAACATGTGCATATGCTGATCCTAATATTTTGCACATTCTAGTTATAGGCATATTATGTTCTGTGTAATCAGGAAGGTAAACATGTTTAATGGTTTGCAATAGCTCTTCTGTGCATAGTCAACTCATGCATCCCTTTTGTGGCACATGGTGGTAGCAGGATCAGACTTTGGGACATATTTCTAAAGTATTAACTTGGAAACCAGCAGTCTGCATGAAGTGCAATGATATCAACAAGGTACTGTGGAATATTAAATAAATAAAAAAAGACACCCCATTGCTTTTAAACTCAAAAGAGGGTTGTCTATTATTTTCAAACACAACAAAGACCCTAACCCAAATAGAACATCAGAGATGACTAAAGGAGCACCCATCCCAAGGACATTTACATCAGCCTTGAGTGGGTCAGTCACTGAAGGACAATGTGAATGTCTCTGAGTGGGCGAGCCCAGACTTAAATCCTTTGAACTTCTCTAATAAGACCTAAAATGTCTGTCTACTGCTGCTTAGCTTAAAAATTTGTTATTATAGGCTTTTTTGTAGATATCTAACAAAAGAAAATGTGTTAGAATAAATTTGTGTTAACACAGACATCATGTTTTGTTTGATTTGAGTATATACCCTATACTAATAATACTTTTAATTTTTGAAGCTGCTTGTACATGAGCTTGACTGAAATTACAACAAAAGGGCATCAGGGGAAGGAGTTCATTCTTGAAGAACCTGTCTCCATTATTTAATATTTGGCTAGAAGGCTCCAGAAATCTACAAAAGTCAGAAATTTCATAAAAACTGAGTTAAAACACCCAAATGCAAATTAAGCTGGTGTGTACATCGGTTTAGGGCTGTATAGTTAATATTTCTGCTAACGAAAACTTAACAAATATTGACTTCTATGTTGGCCAGTCAGGCATAAACATGTCTACCTACCCAGTAATTGATTGGTTCCTATTTTACTATTCAAATGGCCCAAACTCATCAGTGAATGGACTCCACCTGGATTTATGTACAGTATATAAACCTTTGTGTCTGATTTTGTGATCATTGACTGTTATTAAAGCAAACTTCAATGCAGCAAATAGTAACGGTCATATATAATGCAATTAATCTTATTATTTATTTTATGGGAAGCTGTCTTATGTTATGTTTTGTATTGACCAAAAACCCAATTCATCAATTCTTCCTTTAACAGAATGGAGAAAGAGGCTTTATATTATAAGAACGCTCTGCATTTAAATGGAAAAGAAAAGCTTATGTAATCTACAAACAAACACAAATCACTTTGACACTTAAAAGTAAATAGTCTGAATCTATGGTCAAGGACAATTAGTGGTACTTGAGCTACAGTTTGTGGTTTCAAATATGATACTTATCATTTTGTAAGATAAATTTGCTTCAATGTAGTGCTATGACAGCCACTTACAAAAAAACACTGCTACACCCTTCTTAAATCAGCATAGTCTAAAATAATTTAAACGTTTACAGTAAACCAAGCGCAAGTTCTGGTTGCATCTTATGATGTGGAATATAGTTACTGTTAGAACTTGGATGTAGAGATAAGCCAAGAGATTTGTTAATGCTCAGTGCCCAGGAAGTAATAGAAAAACAAAACAACATAGTTCACTATGGAGCTGCACAGTGGAATACTGGACAGCACTGCTGCTTTGCAGCATGTTGGTTTCTGGTTCTATTCCCTGCCCGGGGTCTTTCTGCATGGAGTTTGCATGTATGGGTTCTCTCCGGGTAGTCCGGCTTCCCCAGTCAGAAAATATGACTGCTAGGTTAATTGGCTTCTCTAAATTCTCCTTAAGTGTGTGTGGATGGTTGTTTGTCATGTTTGTCTCTGTTTTGCCCTGCAATAGACTGGCGACCTGTCCAAGGTGTACCCCGCCTCTCGCCCACTGACAGCTGGAGATAGACACCAGCACCCCTTGCAACCCCAGCAGGGATAAGCATGACAGAAAATGGATAGATGGATATTATATGGATATTATATTGTTGCGGTCACTAACATTTAGATAAAGGCCTACCATATTTGATTCTGAGGTTAGGTTCTGCCAGAACCTTTTATTTTGATTCTGAATTCATATGTTGTTTTATACATTTTCTGAATACTTTGACATATGATAATCTCAGTAAAAATACGATACACATTCAGACATGCAACAAAAGGTTTTAATTCTTATAATTATTCTTGTCAAATAATCTACAGTCTAATTTGAAATTAATGTATTAATAACTGGATAGCTTAAAGGTGCTTAAGATTTTTTTTTTTTTTTTTGTACAGATGAAGCTAAAACTATACTACTGGAGGAGGTACAGATAAAGACATTTTTTATTTTTCATGTAAAATGTATATTAATTATGTTGGTCTGGCTTTGCTCCTGCTCTGAGATGATTTTCTCTCATGTTTCCTGTTAACATTGGATCAAATACTGAATCAGATAAGTCACGGTTAACTTAATAAATGGTTTTAGTCTTAATGTAATGCCAGCATGTTTTCTAAGTCATGCCTATAACAAACAGCAGTAGGCTACTGAGAACCCCTGTCCTAAATTGAAATAGAGGGTTCTCCTGGGCAGTTATGGATCTTATTCATTATTATTATTTATAATCAGTATGTTAATTGAATTATGCCAATCTGAATGCTGTGGTCAGAATAAAGAGCTGAGGGGTGTGCTTCAGGTTACTCACCTCTGGCCGACACCCCCCCTGGGTCAGCAGCCACTGTAAGCAGGCCAGGTTACCCGTGGCTGCCGCATCATGAGCGGGACTGGCCCCATTGTTGGCCACGCAGTTCCCCTGCAGTCCCGCATCCTCTACCAAAAAACGCAGGCAGGCCAGCTTTCCTGCCCGGGCTGCGTGGTGGACCGGTGAGGCTCCCAGCACATCCTTCACCTCGCTGCTGAGGACCTTTGCAGCTAAGAGCGTTTTGAGCGTCTGAACGTCTCCCTGCCTGGCTGCAAGCAGCGCCCTGTCCCCCTCCACCACCATGGCTGCAGGCTGCTGCGGGCTAGACGGCTTTTCCTCCGGTTGCCTACTTTGACCCCCCCACCCTACCTGTAGTTCACCGAGTCAGCAGCGCTGCATCCATAAACCCCCCCGGTCACCTCAGTCTCCAGGTTAATTCAGTGGACAGACTTAATTATTGCTCCATGCGTATTTATGGAGCGACGAGGAAAAACGAAATCCGTTCCAAAAATTAGGATTTCAGACTTTTTTCCATGCTGTAATAAAACTCACTGAACACTTACAGTATTCCTTAGACTTATTAAATAAAATATCCGCTTCAGCTTCACCTGACAAGCAGGATTCCTCCAAACACCTGTTGCACAAGGCGTCCTCAGTCCTGTAAACTATCTACCTATTTATTGTTTGTTTACTTTTTCTGCCCAGTTAATGCATCCTATCGTATATCTCGTAGACTCTTGCTGTTTTCTCTTCTTTTAGCAGATGGCGACATGGGACTGATCACCTGATAAATAATCCAGCAGGGGGAGGTCCGCTTAGCCGGTAGTAGATGTTGGCTGAAAATCGGCTCACACATTAAAGGAGCAGTGCGCACAACCTGCCGGCCAGCAGAAGTCCCTCCTTTCTAAAACAGCTCAACAGAGAAAACTGTCAAAGCCTGACTAAGCTACCCTATGACCAAATGCTGACGTGAGACTATATTCTAAAAGTTTATTTTTGCAAAGCTTCATAAATACTAATGTTGCATTAACATTTTAAGACCCCGTGAATTGCTCATTGTAGAGTTCCATCTAGTGGCCTTTTAAAGAACTAGACACATTCCGGAGGTTGGAAAATAACAAATTATATTTATATAGCAGATACTTAGTTAGGCCTCATTACTTCCAGATTTTAAAATATATTTAATGAAATACCAATTTTTATTAATCTATTTTTCATTTCATTGTTTTCCAGCACGTTTAGTCTGCATTTTTAAAATACACCTGGACCCTGAACCAGTACAGGCAGACTTGATGTTGTTTCAGATTTAATAAAATATTCCAAATAATGTTATTTTTAAGTACAACCACAGCATATGCATAATTAGTTGGTTGCAAAGAGGATGTAAATGAACCCGTAATTTAGCCTAATTTAACCTTGAGCAGCCATGTTATATGTACTGACTTATGGATATTATCTTCATTTTTAAAGATTATCCCAAAGATAAATAAATACTAGTGATGTTCAACCTGGTTTTAGCTTTGAATTTAGA